CAAGCGTCATGTTAACAAATGATAGCCGTAAGGTAACTTTTATGCTTATTGTAGCTGTTAGCTAAAATCGCTAATTTAGCGTAGTTTGCCCTGAATTCAGCTTTGACAAACAAATATGATCGACTGTTTGTAGTAGAATTCCAAAGTTGTCATCTTGTACCCTCTCAGAGTACCCCCTCTGTATGCTTGCAGAGACCCCTACAGTAGGGAAACATGCAAAACGGTGTCCAAACCTTTTGTATTTTAGCTTTATTTATGTCTTACACAGCATCCCAACTCTTTAGCTAACTTAATAACTTTAGCTAAAGTGAATAGTTAGCCTAATTCATTCAACATGTCTTTCAAGTAAAACTTAATGAAGCACTGCACAGAAATGCAGAAATGGTTCATGAGAATAAACAATTGGACACTAAATACAGAGAACTGGAAGGCTGAAATAAAGACTTGGAAGAAAGGCACAAGGAAAGTCTCATGAACCAACAGAAGCAGCCCAACGTGGACATCATAAATGAGGGCTGGGAAATAATGTTTAATCAAGCTCAGCAGCGCATTGCAAGCCTGATGACAGAAAAGAAGCAGAACAGCCATAAGTTAAGAACAATGTCCTGCCAGCTTCAACAAGCACAAGCTGTTACTCAGGAGCTCCATGGGAATCTCCAAGACGCTGAGAAAAAGAAGCAGGAGATGCAAGTACAGCTTGATGAAGCCCTGGAGAAAAACCAAGAGCTTCTTCAAGAGAAGAAACAGCAGGACATAAAGGAGAAAGACATGGAATGCAAACTTCACAACATGAAGAAACAAAATGTCTTGCAAATAAAGATTAATGAAGCACTGCACAGAAATGCACAAGTGCTTCATGAGAAGAAACAACTGGACACTAAATGCTGGTGAACCAACAGAAGCAGCCCAACATAAATGAGGGCTGGGGAATAATGTTTAATCAAGCTAAGCAGCGCATTGTAAGACTGATTACAGAAAAGAAGCAGAACAGCTACCAGCTTCAACAAAAACCAAGAGCTTCTTCAGGAAAAAGAGCAATGTAAAAAATGCAGGGAAAGACACTGGATCATAAGGCGGCATAGCCTGGTCTTCCTCCACCGCTTTTCTCATCTCCTCACCCCTATACCTCCCCTCTTGCCCTTTCTCTCCTACCACCTCTCCATCATTCTCCATTTTTTCTTTCTCCCCTCCCTTCTTCATCCTTTTTCTTTTCTTTTTTCCCCCTCACCCCCCCAACTAGTCAAGGCAGACGACCCTCTCTGAGCCTGGTTCTGCAATAGGTTTCTTCCTTTAAAGGGAGTTTTTCCTATCCACCATCACCGAGTGCTTGCTCAGAGGGGATTGTTGGGGTTTTCTCTCCTCCTTTCTCTTTCCTTCCTTATATCCCTTTCTTTTCACCTCCCCTCTTCTCTCCTACCATCTCTCCTCATCCTCTCCATCACTCTTCATTTTTTCTTTCTCCCCTCCCTTCTTCATCATTTTTCTTTTCTTTTTTCACCCTCACTTAACTTATTCTTGACTAACAATAAACACAATCAACCATATTTTTTACTCATGTCAAATCAATGTCTCTTCATTCAAGAATAATTCATCTTATGAATAAAAGCAGCAAACGGGTAATAGCTGTGTGTGTTGGTGGGGCGGCATATTTACGTTTTACATTTTATAGTATCTGTCGTGATCTGCTGGTTTGACTCATCCAATAAAGAAATGCATCATTTAGACTGGTGAAAAGCACAGATTTTATTCACATTTGGATTAAAAAATTAAATAGATGAAAGAACAATTGAACATAGTCTTAAAAAAACAAACCAGAAACATGAAGACATTGTAGATACATAGCTAGGACCAGAGTCTAGGTTTGCAAGAGCAGTTTATACTGGTAATCTGAAGTAACAGACCACTGTGAATTTGGAACTGCTGGCTGCAATGGAAAATGGAATGAAATGTACAGTTTCAGCACTTAAGTCGTTGGATCTAAATTACAGAAGGAATTAAATAAGACATCATCCATCTTCTTCCGCTTATCTGGGGCCGGGTCGCGGGGCAGCAGCCTAAGCAGAGAAGCCCAGACCTCCCTCTCCCCAGCCACCTCCCCCTTTCAGCTTGTCAGGCGGAAAACCAAAGCATTTCCTTTATACAACACAAACTGGAACGTGGAAAACATATGAAATATTTAAAGTGAGAAATTTCAGTATTTGATGGAAAATACTTGCTGATTTTGAATTTGATGGCACCAACCTCTTAAAAACACCGAGACTGTGGCAACAAAAGGCTGGAAAAGTAGGTGACATTAAAAATTAACGGATATATGAACAATTTGCAACTAACTAGGTCAGCTGCCAACATTTCAGTAACATGACCGGGTACAGAAAGAGCAGCTTAGGTAGGCAACAGTTTGTCAGAAGCCAAAATGGGCTGAGTTTCACCACTGATCTTCAAAAACTGTATACAAATTGTGGAACAATTTCTGAATAATCTTCCTCAACACAAAATTATTTCAAAAGAGTCAGAGAATTTGGAGAAATCTCTGTGTCCAAGGGAAAAGACTGAAATGAGATGCAAGGAAGAAGCCATATGTGAACCAGAAACACAGCTGACTTCTCTGAGCCAGAGCTAATTTTAAATAGACTGAGAAGTAAAACTGTTCTGTGGTTAAGTGAACTGTCCATGAACTGTCAAAAGCCTTCATCACTGATGGTATGGGGTGCACATGTGCTGAAGATATATAAAGATTTTAGATTTTTAAAAATGGGAAAAAACAAAGTACAGATGAACAGAATATACCGATAAAAGCAGAAAACACATGGAAAAAGAATCAAAGAAAAAACTAATGACCTCACTGTCAGTGATATTGAAACCAGGATGTTTAACATCATCTCAAAGTGCATCCTGAAGGAGCACATGGTGTATGTCTGAGAGATAATTTGAAAGAAATTATGACTTCTTCTCTTTCATTGAATGAGAAATAGTGAATAACTTAAGTGCTGGCTTCTGGGGAATGTAATTTAACAGGTTAATAAACAAAAGTAGCACATTTGTTGTTTGATGCATCTGATATTAACTGCAGGTGGTGAAATATCAGACCAATAATCGATTAAAAGTGGCTAAATTGAGTCAAACCATTTCCCATGAAGGCCTTTCCAAAACACAATAAATGCAAAATAATTTCACAGGGTTTTCAGCTACTATTTGCTGCTCTGGTGCACTTTTCTTTTATGATTTCTTTTTTCTTGTGTTGAATTTAAATGCTGTAGATTAAGTATGCCGTTGGAGAATAAGCAGTGAGACAACTTTACTTATTACCTTACTGCTGCCAACAGCTGACCAAGGAAACAAGACAGACAGAGCTGGGGATCGAACTGGGAACCTTCCGGTTACAAGATGAGCTTCCCAACCCCCTGAACCACGATCGCCACCACAACAAGCCTGTCTTGAACCTTTGACATGAGGCAGGATGGATCCAGGCTTTCATTGTATTTAGTGAATTTGAGACTTATCAGGCAATTTTCTAGTCTTTGATTATCCAATTTTGGTGAACCTGTGTGACTTATAGCCTCAATCTTTATGTTTAGCTGATTTAGCTGATACCATACCTGGTGTGGTCTTCTGGTACTGTAGTCCATCTGGTTCAAGGCTTAACATATCAGAATTCCCAGAAGAGTTTTATTCTTTCTTTTTAAAATAAAACAAAAACAAAACAAAAAGTATTCAACAGGATAGATCGATAGACAGATAGATCAAAATTAAGGATGAATGATTGGTGTACTGTGTGTATTATGATGCGAAACAAAAAACAGCAAAACCTAAATACATTAACAATACTAATTACCCAAAGTGATGCAGCAAAATTAATTAAAATCAGCTTCTAAATGCTAAAGTCATTGTTTGTGTGATGTTTGTCTTATATTATCAATCATTTTAAATCTGAGCTTTCTTTCTGAGCTTGTTCAGAATACTGTCTTTAAACCTAAGGTAAGTTGTTATATACTAAGAATAACCTTTAACGATGGAAATAAATAATATTTTGTCTTTACATATTTTATTTTGTGGAGTTGAATGCTCTTTCATTCAGTCACTCACTTAAAATTACCCTATACGTTAGCGACACGTGGAAACTACAATTCCCAGAAAACCTAGCAGTTGTCTCTGAGGTCACCAGGAAGCTGCTTCTTCACAACAGACGGTGTTTGCTAATTATTCACCGGCGTACACCGCAAGCAGCCCAGCTAGGCGGAGTTAACCACTCTATTAAAACTAGCTCCCCAGTGAACTCCTTCGGAGTTGTTTACTTCGTATAAACCTCTTCTGAACAAAAAAACATCTTTTTAGCTGAACAGGTGAGGACGAGCAGGAGGCTTGGAGGACGGTATATTTGAGTGAGAGTTGGGTTTTATACAGGCTGTTGGTTGCACCTGTGTAATTTGGCCAGAATTACTTTTTATACATTTAGCTACGATAGTAACTCTATGACAGTTATGAGCGGTTTGGTATGACTGTTTCGTGTGTGTTTCTTTCTTAAGTTTGTTACTGTTATGTCGTAAGCATGTAGTTACTGTTTAGTACACACGTGATTCACCCCAAAGTGTTTCAGACATATCCAGCGGTCACTGTAACGTCAGTCTGCTCAGGCGCCCCGTGCACGCATCTTCAGCAGAGGTGTCTTGTCTTCTCCTTGAAAGTAAGCCAAACTGCTCCTTAGTGCTATACAAAGTGTCGGACGCAGTGTGAAGATGTGCTCCACTTGTGGTGCTGTAGCCTCCCCTTGTTGCTTCGACTGTTCATGACGCATAACGTAACCGAGAAATAGCCCGTTTTGGGCCAAACTGCAGTCAGTGATTGGCTCAAAAGCATTGAGTTTGTTGGTAGTGTAGTGTCGTTACTTGGGTACTAAACGGAGCTACGTGTGCATGGTGCCATAGACAGTATAAAGTAACGGAAAGAAAGGATTTCAGTATAAAAGTAGAATCTTATACTGTCTGTGGACATTTGTGTACTGTAGTGTGCATGGTTGCACTCACTGATAATGGATGTCACTTTGACCTTTGAATAAAATACTCAGGTCCAGTTTCAAAGTCTAAAGTTTAAACGTCTCTCGCTGCAGACCACCAGGAAGGGTATTTCAACTGTGGTTTAGTTTGTCCTCTTCTGGTAGTCTTGGGTGCTTGAAAAGAAGACAACGGGACTTTCTTGTTCTTTAGTTCTGAAACAACTATTGGAGATTCTTAATGATCCTGGTTCATTAACTCACTATTGTGGATACTCCAGGATAATTCAAGGTGTGAATTGTTTTTTAAACGTTACCACCCTCTGCCACAATGTAAGCTATTAAGGGCGCATGGGTCAAATTGTGACTGGGGAGGGATCTCAAGACTGCATTGTAGGTGGGTGATAGTTAGTGTCTGCTTAGTGACGGTCATTCAGAGTGGATGTAGACAGCCTCCTTTATCCTTTTCTTAAACAATTTCTCTTGGTCAAAAAGATGAACATCTACTATGACCTGCATGACTGAGGACCTGCACAGACATCCATCTTATGTTTTTACTATAATACATATTTACATGTATATGTTATACTTAGAGACTTAGAGAGTTTTATTGTCATTATGCAGTTTCTTGCACAGCGAAATTGGGCAGCTGGACCACAAGGTGCAAAAGTAAAGAAGGGAAAACAATATACAATGAGGGGAAAATAAATAAATAAATAAAAAGCAATATATTTTTATACATATATGTGTGAGTGAACTATATACATGGTGTATGCGTAGGAAACATTGAAACAGAAAATAGTCTGTCAGTATACCCTACACTACTTGCCAAAAGTATTTGCTTGTCTGCCTTCACATGCATATGAAGTTGAGTAACATCTTATTCAAAAACCATGGGGTTTAAAATATGTTGGCCCACCTTTTGCAGCTATAAAGGTGCTCTGTCAGGTTGAGGTGAGGTCTCTGCAGGCCAGTCAATTTCGTCCACACCAAACTCATTCGAAAAAAAGATATATCGAAAAATATATATAAAAAGATAAAAGGATATCGGTGAGTAGTGGCAGCAAGTCGCGCCAGCGTTCACTCAACCGGAAGATGATAACTTGTACCTCCAATGGCATTGTGGAACCTGCTTTGTGGACTGATGTACAGTTTTGTTGGAACAGGAAGGAGCTAAGTCCAAGTCCCCACACAGTGCAGCATGTTTTACACCGCTTTAACTGAAGCTTTGGATTGCGCTTGGCGATTTAAGGCTTAGATACAGTTGCTCAGCCATGGAAACCGATACCATGAAGCTCTCTATGCAATGGTGTTGAGCTAATCTGAAGGCCATGTGAAGTTTGGAGGCCTGTCGTGATTGATTCAGGAAGTTGGAGAAACCTGGCTACTTCTATGCACCTCAGCATCCACTGACTGCTCTCTGTGATTTTAGGTGGCCTTCCACTTTGTTGCTGAGTTGCTGTTGC